CAAACATATTAACATTATAAATAGTCCTAAGCCGAAAGTAAATGTAGCTGTGGCGTTGTGGTGGGTTGCTCGCTCGTCTAATCAAACGCAAATGAACGTAGGAAGGAAACATTTGGAAAGCGCGATCACTAGTCTGCTGTTCTTCGGAGCAGAGTTATTTTTCAGTTTTCGTTGATTTAATGTACATAGTATACACATAGATAAAAAGTAACACCCCATCAGCCGAGCCAAAAGTAGGAAAAATATGTCAAACAATAAGATAAACGCTCTCCGAGTTTAGAGTAGAAAAATTTGCTGACTACAAAATCTTTACATATCTTTATATGTATGTACATATATGTATATGCACATATGTACATATGTCATATGTATGTACGTTGTTGTCGAAATAATAGCATCGAAATTCAGAATGCTTTTGCTTGCAATTGTGTTTATTTATTTATTTCTAATAATTTGCATTTAAATTATAGTTCGATCTATAAGAGAAAAAAGTAATTAAAAAAATTTAACAAGTTGTTAATAAAATAAGGAAAAATCGGTCGCGCCACTATTCGGCAACTTTTTTTTTTTGTGAAGTTATTCTTTTTATGTAGGTAACTAGCAGACCCACCCGTCGAACTTCGTCCCGCCCAAAATTATTTTTTTTTTTTTATTGAAACATTTGGTCCAACTTTTTCGCCAGCAATTCACGTTCACGATTGGTTTAGTGGTCGACAAAAGGCATATCCTTCATTGCCGTCTTAGATAATCTGACGAAAGCGTTATACCTCTGCTACCACCAGCGGATTCCGAGTTGAATACTTTCAGAGCTGGAGCGTCGGTGTCCATTCGAACGGCATGGCCAAGCCAGCGGAGCCGCTGTATTTTAATTCGCTGCATTATGTCCATGTCGTTGTAAAGCTCATACGGCTCATAGTTCCATCGTCTGCGGTACTCGCCGTCGCCAACGCGTAAAGGCCGCGGTGTTAATGCTGGTTCCCAAGTAAATGAAATTCTCTACTTTGTCGAAATTAGTGACGTGGGTGCCAAGGCGCGAATGTGCTGACTGTTTATGTGTTGACAGGAGGTATACTTCGTTTTGTCCTCGTTTACCACCAGACCCATTCGCTTTGCCTCCTTATTCAACTTGGAAAAGGCAGAACAGACTTCGGGGTTTTAGTTACCGATGATGTCGATGTCATCGGCATAAGCCAGCAATTGCACGCTCTTGTAGTAAATTGTTCCTGAGCGGTTCAGAGCGGTAGGTTCGCGACGAGATCACCTCTTATAAAAAGAAAGAGCTTTTCTCTATATATAATAAGCGTAGGTAACACAGGGCAACACCGATTTTGATGCGGCAAATGTTAAAGTGGTTTTTTATAGACATTTTTGTGCTGATTACGAATCCGTAAGTACATATAAAGTTTCCATCAGCTCCAGATTTTGAGAAAAACATGGTAAAAGTGTAAAAAAATCGCGTTTTTTGCAATATTTTAGAACCTCTTGCAAGGAAACAAAAGGTAATAGAACCTTCCACTTAGGCTTAAATTAAAGCTAGAAGTACAGACTACTATCCCTGAAAATACTATTCCTGCACCTTGCCCTGATGGTCATCTATACTCATTTATGTTTTATTGTCCAACATTAAAAAAAATACTGGAAAATTATGCAATTGAAAAACGAAAAATGTGTAAAAATCAGTATTAGCTGTTCAATAAATGACTATAGGTGATCTTAGGGTCAAGGTGCAGGAATTGTATTTTCAGGGATTGAAGTTCAAGCCTTAATTTAAGCCTAAGTGGAAGGGGTTCTACCACCTTTTGCTTAATTGCGGTAGGTACTTCAACTTCCCAAAATCAGTTTCTCCTTTTCGTCATCAAATGACTAGAATTGACCATCAAGCAAAGGTACAGGAATTTGCACGGTCAGTAGTCGAGATTTTTAGTTTTAATCTAAGCCAAAGTGGAATGTTCGACCACCCTTTGTTTTGAATAAGATTTTTTTCCAATAGATCGGTAACTGGTCCACCTATCAGAAAAATATCCTATATGTTAATCCTGGCAATAAGCTACCTCTACGCATAAGCAGCCGCCTGAGTGGGCAAAAATCGAAAAATTCGTTAACTGCAATGTGAACGTGTTTGGTATTTTTGTAATGACAATTTATCCAGTAAAAATAATTAGACAGAAATTTCCCCTTAAAAAATAAATTATATGCCGCCAGGAAGCCACTAAAGACGACAAATTTTATACTAAGAATTTTAATAGGAGCATAGGTATTTATGCGTAAGCTCTTCACGGAAAAAAATGTCAAAAATACATTCTTTGAAATAAAATGTTGGTTTGACGTTTTTTATTTCCATATAAATAGTAGAGAATTACAGGAATAAAAATTTTGGAATAAAATTAAATACAGGATGTCCCTGCGGTATTCCATAAAAACAATTTTTTTAAACATAATATCAAAAAATGCTAAATTTTAGTGGAATGAATAAAAAATTATACACTGCCAGAATAAAGTATTGACACAGCAAATTTTTCACTTTAATATATGCAACAAATTTTATTCTAATATTTGTCCGCCAATTTTGTATAAAAATATGGTTCATTCAACAACAAAAAACATAAAAACATAATTCCTAAACTTTGTGCAAAACCCACGAAAATTCAGCAAGTTATCATCAAAATTTTCAAGTTTTTTAATAAGATTTTTTAGAATTTTTTTGAGTATGCAGTTTTGCAGCCCATTAAATTCTTTTAAAAAAATGCAAGTACGGAGTTAGTCAAAAATCACGTTGATTTTTGAGAATTTTTTATGCTGAAGGTGGTTTGCATTTTTCAATATAAAGTATTTTCGAACAAAATTTTTGTATTAAAGAGACTGCGTGAAAAAAAATTACCAAAAATCAACGGTAATTCCTTGCTACTTAACACTTACACTTTATTATAATAAAATTGATTGGGCTACAAATCTGCATACTCAAAAAAAAAAAAACTAAAAAATCTGATTAAAAGTTAAAAATTACCGGA